CATGTGATCGATAACTTCACCTCGGAGGTTTGTATTATAGTAAAGAAGCACACCGTCACCCCTTCCGGTTTTATCGGTCCGAAGCAGCGACATACCGGGTAAATTGATCTCAGAAAATAGTTATCTCAAGGTTTAACCAGGTCTCTGTAATCATGACGATGTCCCACGTTTGTGAGGCATGGAGTTCTCTAAGTTCGATCAACTTACTTAGAAGGCCTTGGGCGTTTGTGTACATACAATCTAATTTTTTTTCTTAAGAGTGCGTTGATAGATGTCAACTTTGTGCTAGTTTTTAAGCCGGCCGTTAGGTGGCCGGCTATTAAACGTTTTTTGGTTTATGTATTTCAGTCAAGTTGTATTGCATTATTAAGTGTTCCTGAACAGACGTTTCACTCGTGTTGTGTTCTGTCCTGATGCATGCTGCTGGCGCTGTTGTGTGGGTCTCGAAAAAGTATTTTGCAGCGTTTGCAAATTCCGTCGATTTGCTTCCGACTTTTGGCCCTTCGCCTGCTGCTTTTAACCGGATCTGTTGGGAACCTAGCTCGAAACTTTAACCAGCTATCCAGTAGAACTTGCCTCATTCCCTCGGAGTGTAATATTACTTTAATTAGCCTTGGACGGCAGCCCTTGTAGTTAGGTGATGACGGAACTCTAGTCAGGGATTTGGCAATAACATTGTCAACAGAGAGTGCTTCGCATATGTAGCACCACTGCTCTCGTTCATGTGTTTGCACATCATGATCAGAAGAATGTAGAAGCTCGGGAACAGCATGAACAGATATTGTTTTCTTGCTATCCCTATTAGGAATGCCGCGTTGATCAACTGCCTCTTCTGGGCGAACTTTCTAAGGTAGAATAGGTAATGTGCGCACTCCGCTCGGTGAGTTACGAAGACGAACTGCTGAGAGCAGGACAGCTTCTGTCGCATCTGCTGAGTCTAGTGGTACTCGAAGAATTCGAGGTTCACTAGAGTGCACTGAGGTCGGGTGTCGCATTACGCGTTGCAGCATTGCAGGCTCAACCCGAATACCAATCGACTCGCAGATGGTACTCCACTGGTTGCGATCGTCTTGCAAATTGCCTATTATTGTGCCAGCTTTGGACTCGGGAACTTTGGTGCACATGAGAGTTAACGCAGCGTGGTTTCGTCTAGCGAGTGTTGGCTTTATAGTTTTGCCGGCAATTCAGGTTGTTTAGAAGGCACCACTGGAGTTGACGGTGAAAGCTGCTTTGCTCCGCGCGTGCTCCGTACTGAAGATGGACCCACATTTGTCGCTCCCGGTGTATTTGTCGAGGCAATCGATGCGTTGGTTACCTGCTGGTTATCTGCACCGGATTGCCTTCGGCTCTGAGCTGTCGGTGTCATGGCTGAATCTCCAAGTGAAGCGTTTATAGTTGGTGAAGTGGAAGCAGGCATGTTTGAGGCTTGTTCACTTATGGGAGTGAGGTGACCCAGTGGATTTAGAGTCACAAACGTTGCAGTGCGGTTGGAGCGTCTAGCTGTCTTCTTCGGCTTAGATTCGGAGCTTACTTTGGCTGGGTGAGGTATTATCGTGGCCATATTTACCTCCGTGGGATCGAGCTTATTATTTACAAAATGGGCGATTATCTCAGTCATCCTATCGCACTTTTTCATGAGCAAAGGTAAAGAGTTGACAACTGGAATACCTTGACATGTTGGACCAAAAGAAATTGGTTTGGTTTGTTTGTCTCACTTCTTGGACGGATTTGCCTACACATTGCGGACAGTACGATCTAATGCAGCTAGAGCAGGTTACACTGATCTGAAGGACTTTGCTGCAATTGTCTGCGCAACATAGACGACGTTGAACCATTGGAATCCTAGTCGTCCCCTTATTGTTTACAGTAAGGCCTATCCAAACGCTCAACTTGATGATTGTTCTTTGCGAAAGGGGTGACGCACGAATAGGTCAGAACACGCACACGAATTAAGAGTTGTTCCACCGCACCTGTGTCATGCGGTAGAGGCAGATGGAGGTCGTAACGCGCAGTAGTCCATCAATCGGACTCTTCAAAAAGTTGACGCCTGGTAATAGGATGCCGAAGGATTTTATTAATTTGACTCAGGTAAATAAAATATAATGAGGATACAACATATCTGCTAGTTGGCAGTTCTCTCTTCCTTCGTGGCGTTCTCCAATGGGATTACTCGCTAACGCACAATGGAAAGTTTATGCTCCTAGAAGGCAAAACATGCATACGAGCTGGATCATCACTAACTGATATATGACATCCTGGATAGAACATAGCGGGTGCGTAATCGTGCTCGTTCAGACATATGGGCGGCTGTGTCCGTTTGTTGTGATAAACACACGGAGTTCCTTGCTATAAATTGTTTAGTTCTCCCTACTGGTTCTTGAGGCTTATCGACTTTTTTTGGTCTTATTTTACTCTTGTTGGATCTCTCGAAGCAGCAGACTTTGGTCGAAGGATAGAGGAAAAAAGCATCGGTAGTACGCCGGTGCGCAGTACCGACGCTTCGCTACTGCGCAACAACTACTATTTGCATGTGGGCTAAGGATACTGCGAGGGTCGCCGGTCCTTATGGCAGGCTCGAACCCACGCCGTCAGATTACAAGGCAAGCTTGTTACCTTTAGGCTACGGGTCTGCAGTGGATAGACAAAGAAACTAAATATGAACTTTCACACATCACATAAAGCAAACGAGAGCATTTGCTATATGTCAGATAACAAGTGTTACAGAAAGATTGCTTTGTCATTAGTTTATACTCACCTGGAATGTGCACATAACTGAGCAAAGCCGTAGTCCAAACTCGTCCGCGAAGCCAAATTGAAACACCAGCTGAGTTTAGCGAGAATTGTGTACTCCACTTCTACGCTGCTTCACAGCCATGTTAACAAACTCCGCAATTTATATCGTGGCATCCATCCTCTAGGCACTGAGAGTAGGCGACGCAAACTGCCCGGAAACAGCTGATGCTCTTAGACCTCAATTCTCGCCGCCAACACCTACAATTCTCACACAGATCACACCGGCACGAGGAATTAGCCAGATCTCCTTTACTGCCCTTCATGTGCTGAAGCGACTGATGTAACTACACAAGTATATTTTACCTGGTCAGTGTAACTTATGCCCCAAAGCATTGATGGCAGCTGTCACAATCTTAGCTAAACTATTGTTTCAGTTATTCCAGCGCTCTCTAGATGAGATGCAGGTCCCAACTAGATGGAAGCGTGATCTAGTTACGCCGTCAATAAAGAAGGCAATTGTGTTGTGGCCGCAGACTAACCCGATTAATCTTCTTCGTGTGTTTCCTAAACTCATGGAATCTGTGGTTGCAGAAGCACTCACGGACTATTTTGATAGGTGCAGTTTTAGCTTGCAGAAGCAACATGGCTTCCGTCAAATCCACTCATGTACCGCAAGCCTTTTGTTGTTCAGTGTTAGCTGGGCAGAATCTGTCGATGCAGATGAAGGCATCGATGCAGCTTACTTTGCTTTCTGGGAGGTATTTGATCGTCTAGAATACCGCACTATTCTTTACAAGCCTTGGAACTATGTGAGCAGTGATTCTACCCTGAACTGGAATCCTACATTTCTGCTGCAGCGCCACATACATGTGCAAGTTAGTAACGTCTTGTCCTACCTGGTAGACTTTCACTGTGGCGTCCCTCCAGGCTCGGTACTAAGACCACGGGTATTTCTGGTGTTCATAGACGACCTCGTGAGTGTATTGACATCAAACTTCTTACTCTCCGGTGATCAAAAGACATGGCGGGCAATCGAAAGGGTAGATGGGCATCAGCAATTCAACGAGGTTTCGATCGGGCTTACTCTTGGTCAAGTTAGAACATGCTTGAGTGTAACCCTATCAAGCGTAAATTTTTGGGCATATGCCATCAGAGCGCTTGCGATTATCAACTGGGAGAACATATTTTGCAGGGCGCTTATCATAAAAGTCATCCTGAGGTGCGCGTGCATTTAAAGTGCCTATTCATACTCCTTTTGTTTTTCTCTTGCCGATCGTGAATTAATTTTGTATAACACGCTTTAAGGAGTTGTCTGTTTGAAGCCAGATGGATCCGAATTCTCACGTCTGCTTTCAGAACTTTCTCTATACTTGGCAAATCCGTCAGAGCCAGCCGTTTCCAACTCAGTAGGCATCTAAGTAACTAAAAGAAAACCCAACTTTCAGGTATCTTGTTACTTTTTCAACCATAGATAAATCTGAAGTGCGCCAAATGGCTAACACCTCATCAATCGATCTCACTTGACCTTGCCTTTTCTGTGGCCATCATTTGTTCCATGTAGGTGATGTATTAGAATGCACGGAATGAACATGTCATCTCACAGTAGGTATCTTCTGATTTGTCTAGTTTTACTGTTTCTTCCAATGAAACTATATATTCGCACCGGTGGTTATGGCATTACATCCGTTATGTTAGCATACACATCCGTTGAAATTACGTTGCATTAATACGTATTTTTGTGCGAAATCTATTCCAGGATGTGTTTATTTTTGATCTATATTCATACCTTTGTTGTCAGCGTAATGATTGGGCTTCCAACTAACAGAAGTCAAGGCTTCTTGCGCTGGCTCATGCAATCGACGTGCTTTAGTTACTGCTAAGGGCTTAAATATAAAGAAATATTGATGCGAGACACAGTCCAACGGATTGGTCTGGTCAATTAATTCTGCCAAACCTACAGATCACTATTAAATAACATTCATTGGTTATCGCATTAAAACTAGCGTGTACGCCAGTGCAAAGTGAATATTGCTTTTGTTATAGTCGAGTTACAAACGCAATGTTTTTGTCGAAACTACCCTCTACTTATGATGATTTGCAGGATTACATGCCGAGAGAAAACCCAACAGTACTGAAGTATCCCACCTGTCATCGTACGTTGATTATCCCAACTGACTGCCAATATCCGAGCTCATTTCGGAGCTGAAATGCGACAGCGTTCAAAAGGTGTTCACTAAATATTCTCCCGCTGATGGGGACTAACTCACTTTATTTAAAGCACGTTCGGCGCAGTCCTTGACTTCGTCTATGCCTCGACGATTTTCACGGTTGGACAAACATTGCTCACCGATTTCCATGGATTTTCTTATATGTTCCCTCATTAGTTCCAAATGTCGTAACCTGTCCTAAAGGGGTGAGGAACTTGGGAATATTAATGAGTTTCAAAAATTAACGCACAGCCGCGCCTTAGATACAAGTGCTAACATTCATGCGTTAAGTTGCCGAAGATATCCAACTGGTCAATTGCTTTGTGAAGAGCAATTATTAAATGTTTAGGGCAGATTATTCACATATTTCCTTTCATTAGGGGTGCGGTTATTGTTGAAAAGATATATAACGGAGCTGAAATAAAGTACTGTATCAACAGCTTTTAAATCATAGTTTAACATTTTATTCACGGTTGACACACTAGGCGCAAGGAAAACCCTGGCCATAGCATCTCAGTAGTTGAAGCTTCTACAGCGCGATGTCAGTTGCAATGGTGGCGCATTATACAACTAAATACGAAATAACAATAGAGTAAGTAATCTGCAACTATGGTAAATTTGGTGCCTGATTACCCCAAGCTGACACATCCTCATGGATACAAAGTTAAGTTGGAGTAAAATAGACCAAAGTACACCCTAACAATTGCGTTTAAATTAGTGACACTGTCAATGCGGATATTGGTGCTAGGTGGCATCGACCTAAACTATGCTATAAAACGTGAACTGTTAAATATGCGCAAATGCCGCTTAAGCAGATGGCCTTTCGTTACACTGATAAGTTTACTTTAGTCGCTAATCAGGCCGAACAATGCGCGTGAGACGGCAGTGCGAGAGAACGTGATTCGAGTAAAAAGCATAGGTAATGACCTGCAGAGGTGATCGGATTATATATATATATATATATATATATATATATATATATATATATATATATATATATATATATTAGATACCTATGTCCTTGGGATTATTAAACGAGAGAAACACAAATAAAAATTGTCTCATTTGGAATAGAACTGGAAAACTATCGACATTTAGAAATAGGATTGGTTGACATCTGAAGCAAGGCGTAGTCACAATACAGGGCATGGGATCAATGTCACAATGAACCGTGATTTATTTCGGATATAAAATCAGTTATTTGACAAGTCCCGCAGCATGGTGGGGCAAAACTACATTTATCGAAATATAGGTGAGTTTTGTGTTTGAGCGTTAATCTAGCAGGTACGACGTTGCATTATTGCCATGTAAGTGGGAATAGAATGCGAACGACGGCCAGTTTTCTCTGCTGTATTCCTTGAGTTAATTAAAATTGAGCACAATGTACCGCCTCCTCAGGTTTATGTGACATGTTAGTCCGGTTTAAATGGGGATATAATACATTCCAGGTTAGCACAGTTTATGCAATGAAGTGACGGAAGATAAGGGCATGATGCTAACGTTTTTGCAAACACCCGTTGGCGGAGGAAACAACTAAGTATGGGGAGAGTTCCAGGGTGGATAAACTCGGAGAAATCTTATTCCGCCGGCATTCCAGACGGCTAAACTTTGCTCATCATTTCAGAGGGTTATCTTTGTGATTGGTGTTATGGCTGAGTTTCAGTAAGTGACGGCATACGTGATTCGGGTCATTCAATATTTGGTATACTTATGTGAGATCGCAGCGCAGGCTACTGTAGTGGCCACTGAACAGTCCCAGTGACTTCATCATTTGGTGTAAGACAGATTTCGTAGATCCTTGACGTGCTTTGTTGCTCTGCGTTATGCTTTCTCTAGCACTTCTAAGTCGCGCTTCAACCAAGGTTGCCAAGCTTGGATGGCGTATTCAACAAGTGGGCGCAGGTAATAATTATGCATCGTGGGGTGGCTGGATGGATCGCAACTACCGAACGTCCTTCGCAGCTAATCGACGTGCTGGTTGGCTCGCTTCGCAGCTGCCTCTGACTGCCTGAACAATCAAGGTCACTTTGAATGAGCATACCAAGTTCGCGTTCCTGAGAATTCGTCTGCAATACATGTGCCCAAAGCCTATACACATTGTCATGCCTATGGCGCAATTGATCAGCGTAACTTTTTTCCAACTTGAACGGTAGTGTATTCAGAACTGACCAGTTTGAAATCATGAGGCCACCTTGGAGCTTTTAGTGGTCGTTCGGTTCTCTGGTCGTCAGCCAAAACTTGATATCATCCGCGAGGAACAGTAAATCGGAAGTACTTTCCCTTGCCAGATCGTTTTGGAAAATCAAAATTGGTCGGGGCCTGAGCACCTAGCTTTGTGGTACGCCGCACTCTACCTCAATTGCGTTGGACAGTGACTCTCGAACTATCACCTGCAACCGATGTTCTTGGATGAAATTACCTATCCAACACAGCAGTGGCTCACCAATGCCATAGCTAAAATTTATGGAGGAGAATTCGGTGGTCTAAACGATCAAACACTTTTGAGAAGTCTAGGTACATTACATGGACTCCTGCTCCCCTATCAACTGCTTCTGTCTAGCTCTTGCGTACAATTAGCAGATTCCTAGTGTATGAGCGCCTTTGTCGGAGGCCATTTTGCTCTGGTGCTATCATTTTCTGATTTACCAGATACTGCATGAGTGTATCAGCGATGATAGACTCCATACACGTGGAAAGCAAAGAGAGTAGCGTTATAGGATGGTAATTGGTTGGGTCCATGTGACTACCTCACTTGTGAATAGGAGTGATGACCCCCCGCTTCCATTTTGCTGGAATATGGTTCTCCACCATAAAGCGCTGACAAAATATAGCCAACGATTCCGCGAGATCACTGGATGCTGCCTGTAAAGCCTCCGGTCAAATGCTATCGACACCGGAAGAGGTATGTATACGCAGGGACAAGTTTCTTTACCACGGTTTTGGTTGAAAAAGTGATACTGGGTAAAGCTAACGGTGGGAAAACATAAGCAGAGATAATCGTTGGGTCCGTTACTCGATATAAGGTTGCGAGAAATGGAACCCTAAGAGATCGGCTGCTTTCGTTGCTGCTCACGTGCACCCGTTAGTCGCTATCATTGCTGGAATTCCGCGTTGCATCTTACGAAGGCCATTAACATGCCTGTATAACAGTTTGCGGTTCATGCAGAATCATTTCATCACCGCTAGCTGATGCGTCACCTTGTCCTCACGGATCAAACTCAAACAGAATTTACGCTATGCCACATCAGCAGTCCAGCTTTCGGAATCTAGGGAGTCCTTGTGAGCTCTTCTGGCAAAGTCCCTCAAGGTCATGCCTTTATGTGTTATGCTCCTCAGAAATAACCCTACTCCTTTTGAAAAGCGCAGTAAGAAGACAAAGACTGGCAAATGCACGCATCTCGTATTGTCTCATCAATGCCTTTAACCATAACTCTCAATAATATTTTTTCAGTGAAGGGTGCAAACAGACAAGCAGACCAACACACTATAAGCGAGACAAGGGTATCACCCCTATCCCCACGGCAGTCTAATGCTGACCGATAATTGTTTCTGAACCCAAAGCAGCAGCTTAATCCAGTTAATTGCAATCGCCTCTGCGAAACGGAGGAGGCGAGAATTGGTTTACTGTAATAGGATTGTGAACGCCGAACTGACCTCGACTCGGTGACCTGTGATCAATAAGTGTCGGCCGATCGAAGAGGCTGGTGGCTTACGCAGACAAGCAGCATGACTCTGGCCAGTTTCCTGCGTGGTCGAACGTTGAACCCACTTAGGTACATGCTTCCTTCTCCTTTGATGATAGAAAGATTTATGCTCAGACGCATGTGTTACCAATGTGCTAAATGTCCTTGTGAAAGTGTCCCAGGCGGTTTCTGAGGGTCAATCAGTTAAGAAAGTTCAAGATACCTCGTTAACAGGCGCGGATATCAAGTTGTAGTGTTGCCGGTATAGACGTTTTTATCCTTTTCTTCATGCTACTCAGATAACAAATGAGCGGAAGCCTGTAGTCAGACGCATTAAATTTAAACCCCTTGGCACCGAAAGACTTCAAGCATTAAAGTAAGGAAATAAATCTTTCCGATGCTAGAAAATGTTTTACAGTTTTATTAGAACTGCGAGACCTTTTGAAACAGAAATATACCGAGATGTTTGACTAAGTATATTTTCGTCGCCCAGCAATTAAAGAAGCATTTACAGTACGCTGGAACATTTCAACACGAGGAAATGAACATAATGCTTCAGTACACTGCCAAGCTTTATGAGAGCTTGATCTGGATGAGAACCATCTTACTAATTTTTTTGACTCACGTTAAAACAATGAAGACACCTCGAGATTGGGAACCATGTGACTTAAGATAATACCAGCAGCTTGTTTGCATTATATAAAGCTAGTTGGTAGGGCATGGCGCCCGACATGAAAACAAAATGAAGTAGACGCATTTCACAGATCTTACTTTTATAACGTATCATAGAACACCCAATAATTTAGATGTATGAACTCTTTGTTGATTTTGAACTGGTCACTCTGTACCTAGAAACTATTGGATGGCTTCTGCTCTTGAAGAGCGCGCTGATTAGTGTCTGTGTTACTGCATTCCGATGACAGTACATAATAGAAAATGTCACCAACTGTTGGACAGTGTAAAACATCACGCCTTTTTGTGCTCAGTGTGTGAAACGTGGTGTATGAACGCGACTTAGTAAAGATTTGAACCCTTCTCAAATTGAAGGAATTCTGAAGTGCTCCATTAACTGAGAAGACTTGGTTAGTCACTGCGGAATTCGACGGAATCATTTTGATTCACTTAACACAGTCGAAAATAAGACGATCAGCATCACATCAATAAAGAACAAAGTTTGGGGACACCAATTACATTACCCTCATAATTATCTTGGACGTACGGGTAATATGTTGGGAAAGAAATTGAATGCACTGAGGCAGTCGCTTAATTGATGTTCAGGGGATGTATGTTTCGAAGCTGATGAGTGACTGTATCGAAGCAAGGAGAGACCAGTCCAAAATTCTTGTGCGGAAACTGGGGAAAGAGTCTCTAAATAAACGACTTGGATGAAGCTTTGCACGCTGGGGGACACATCTGAGTAAGTATATGTATTAAGTAAGCTGCAAAGGGTTTATTGCTAATTTTTAAAGCATCCAAAAGAGTTAATTGGCTTACTATGGACAAGAAGTTGTGTCA